TAGAGAATTAGGAGAGTGGACTTTAAATTAGTCAAATAAAACATGAGAAAATGCAAAACCATTTCTTACTGCTCTTTACAAATCTCCAGGCTTTCCACAGGAGAGTAAAATGTACACTCTAAAACTGAATTTGTTGAAGTTTTTACCACCAGTTAAATTATTTCCATTTTTATATAACGTGTTAGCTTGCAAGTACAATTTTGAATTGCGATTTAACTCCAAAGACAATAACTGGTGTTCAAAGAAAAAAATTAAGACAAGGTTTAACCCCATAAACATTGAATTTTTGGCAAAATGAAACAGGAAGTGCTTGTTTTGAAGAGAGGAAAATCATTGTGGTAGAGGTGTGAGCTTAACAGTGAGAGTAAAGTGTTAGAGGTCAACTAAGTCTATTTTGTTCTGAAACAACCAAAAGTTATTAATAATAAATCTCAGATTATTATGAAGCAATAATAGGTACATTGGGGAATGTCTCTGACTAATAAATCAAATGCACCGTTAATTGCGGTCTTTGGCTTCAGTTCTATTTGAAAACTGCTGTTTAATGTATTAAGAAACAATGTGGAGAACGGTTATATACTGTGCATAATGTCTCTAAAACATGTCTTTCATCTACTACAGTGAGTCAGAGGGGACAAAGCATATCATTTATCCAAATAATTTAAGTTACCTGCTTATTTTCTCCTGATCACAGTAGAGAGTCTATTCATGAGACTCTAGTTCCTGATATCTGGCTAATTTAGCAACAGCATGGCTGCTGAAATCACACTTGCAAGCAAACCCTGCTCTTTAAAATAAATGACACATATTATCAGAAGTTGTCAGAAAAAAAGGCTTACATGTTTAATAGGATACATTTAAATGTCTCAGTGGTAGACTGTGTTCTACCATTTCTTTTGAATATGGGAGGTCAGACCAGCTGGGCGAAATTATCTTAACGAGTTTAGTTTAACGAGTAAACTTGGTTATAATTTGATAAGATGGGTTTTTTTTTAGAAGTTAAATATTCAGAATTAAGAAATATTAATTTAAATAGTCACATATAAATAAAACAAGTGCAAATTATCGCAACTGTTTTTGTTAGATTTTATCACGCTTGCTTTGGATCCATGTAATGCATCATATAAACACCTCATATCACATCCAAGCATCACTGACAGGTGTTTGAGAACTTTTTGTTCTGGTTTCCTGCTCATTTCTGTGTGCTTTCCCAGCTCTGGCTCCCTGGTTGAGGTGTTTCCCTTTAATACGTTCCAGGCTTTTAGGAACCCCTCCTCTGCTCTCACGTGCACCCACTCACCCTTCATCTCGCAGCAGTCCTTGGTGACCCTCTGGTCGGCTTTTATTGGCAGCTGGAGTAGAGACTTCAGGTTGGTCATGGAGGTCAGGTGTCCGCCTTGGGGGCCACTTCCAGCCGGGTTGCTGGCCCCAAACTGCGGGCTGGTGGCCCCTGCAGGGAGATCCGGCGGCAGGAGCTGCGTGAGAGGCCTTGACATAACTTCTAGGGAAAAGAAGGAAGAGGAAGAGGACGAGGGGGTAGGTGGAGGGAGGTGGAGCGGAGCAACCTGCAGAGTTGGAGCTCAAGATCAAAATAATCCACACAGAGATTGTAGTTAACGCGCGCGCCGTAAAAAAGGTGCGCAGACAGGTGAGGCGTGCGTGAGATCTACTCTTGAAATCCCGCTTTCTCCTCTCTGCCCATGTAAAATGTGCAAAAAGAAATGAAAATGTAAAAACTGAGGGTGGTGGTGGTGGGGGGTGGGGGTCTATCTCCAAAATGGCAGCATGCTGAGCAGGTTTAATTCATCCCTCTGGAGTTGCTGTCACCGCGTTCCTCTCGAAACAAACACCGCCGCACTTCTGAACGATTCACCCAAGTCCTCTTCGAGCTTGTGGAAATAAAACCGGTCCAGCTCGGCTGTTCGCTTCACAGAATCCCTAAAAATTTCCCTCCAGATGGAAGCAACAAACAGTGACAGTAATGATAAAAGCAGAAAAGAAGGCGGCTGACTGTAGTCCCGTGCACTAAGCGAAGAAAGGTGATTAGAATCAGCAGAATATGAAGAATTGGCGGTGGGAAGTCTCCGAGGCGGAATAATCCAGCAAATCTGAGGTGAAATGATCGAAATGATCCGATGATAGAAATAAAGAGAAATAAAGAGATTCCCCCCGAAAGAAAAAAATAATAAAATCCAGTAGTGGAGAGAGCCAGCTTGATGATGGCTCTTATTTTCCCCTCTCTCTCGCGCGCTCCCTCCCTCTCTCACCTTCACACGCACACACACACTCGTGCATTTTTTCCTCGGTTTTCGCTTTTCTCCCTCCGCCTGTCAGCTGGAACCAACACGGGCCGCTCGCGTCACGTCACAGCTCACGGGGGAAAGGCGCCCGGAGGCGTGGATCGTTTGCATACGTTGGCCACGCCCACACCGCCAAAACAACATCCTCCGACGTACTTAAAATCTACCCTTGTGCATTCACGTACACGGATAAGGTGGTAAATAGGAGTTTTTTTCTGCCAGAATTTTTTGTTGTTATTGTTGTTTTCATTTACATTTAAAGAATATTTACTTATTCTATCTTTTAAATCGCTTTGCACATTTTCACATGTTGGACTTTTTTTCTCAAATGTTTATGAAGCAGAAAGTGAGACTTGCATATTCATATTTATTCATTAATGAAGCTCAGTAGACTTTGGAATATTTTTCTTTATGAAACCTAAAGTTTTGGATTATTACTAAGTTAACATGCTGTGTGCCGTTTCTCGATTGCATTTTCTCGGGATGAGGAGACAACAAAACAGCAACTAAAGTCAAAATATGTTTGTATATGTTTAGGTGCTTTGTAATTGTTTCATTTCTCTTCTGTGTTCAAATCTCATTTGAATTTTTTTTTTCAAAAATGCTAAGTTTAGATCGTAGTAGTAGCAAACATCAAGCAGAATATTTTCAAGAGTTATATCTCTTTTGCTCCAGACTCTTGTTTGCAAACTGAATTGAAATGCATCTAATTTAAATTAATTAAATACATTTTTAAATATTATGAGCTTAATATAGCAGTCTAAAAAAATATTTTTAAAAAGTTTACAAAGAAAAATCATTTTAACATGTCTGACTTCATTATTAAGTTTGGGAATTCTTAGTTTACAACATTATAAAATATGTCATCTTTCCAGGGTTCTTTTCAGCCGTTTCTTTTTAACAGCAAAGATTTTTTTCCTCCAGTTTTCCTTGAATGCAACATAATTAACATAAGCATGGCGCCTCCTTGAAGTTCCAGCCAATAGCGAGTGTTTGTTGGGCCCCTGAGCTGATTTTTCACTCCACCCCTCTGCTCTTTTCTCACGCTGTCAAGTAAACAGCAAACACCGCGGACTGAGAATATATTATGAACCAGAAGCACGACGACTCTTTCACGTTTGCTTTTAATCAGTGCCTTTAACTGAATATCTGTAATAGAAAACAGATGCAGCCACTTCGCGTAAGTGGAACAACATGATCTGACCCGTTTAACGCTGTCGAGGATCACTACAAAAACTCCGATGTGTTTTTTTTAAGGTTATTTTTTACAGCGTCTCAATAAAACTCAGTGAAACGCCCTTTAATCTCGTTGAAAAAGACCGTTTGCGCGGCGGTCTGCGCTCCTCGCGCTCTCAACTCCGAACAATCACATGTTCTCCGCACGCGCCTCAGCATTGCCTACCCGCTGCAGCGTCGCACGGCCATTGGCTGAATCTGGGTCACTCGCAGCCGCTCTTAGCTTCCCATTGGTTGAAAATAGGTCAGAGTCCCCGCCCAAAGGTCTCCCCTTGCTCGAGCCACGTGAGGTTTGTTTAGTTTTTTTTTTTCTTTGGAGGCTCAATTAAAGATCACATTTACACGCTTGTCGACTTCCTTAAACTAAACAGTTTAAAACGATTTAATATTCAAATAAGACTTTACGGTGAAATAAAAAGTAGTTGCAATTGTGATGTTTTTAGATACTGTAAAGGAAAATAAATATTTAGTCTTGTGTATGATTTATAATTGATAATTTACCTGTTGCATTTTTGCTGTTAAGTCACATAATTTGATGAAGCACAGTAAATTATCATTGCTGTTATTATTAATCTTGTTTTTTACATATTTATTATGGATCTTTTTGTATGAACATAAATAACAGATGCTGTTACACCTGAATTTAAACAATAAAGAATATTTCGATTCTATTTTAAAGTGCTTAAATAATGTTTACGTCAAAGTTTTTAGACACCATCCCTGAGAAAATATGACTGGAAAACCTGAAGCCCTCAGAATTTCCAGACCAACACAGCAGCTGTTGCACCTGTTTTATGGGTTTCGGTGTCAAATTATATTTCTGCGACACACTATATGCATAAGGGCACATAAAATGAATAACAAGGCCGAAATAGTCTGCTTTACACAAACACCGGTGTATGTACGTTGAAATGTTTTACATCAGCAGCTTTGTTTGGTCTGACTTTAAAAAGAAGTTTCAAATTAAAATTCTATGGATTTCTTTGACGGAGCCACGACTGGCATTGTAAACAGCACCATCTAGTGGCTCATTATTGGTAATGCAGCACAAAAAAAAACTTGCTTTAGGCTGCATGATGGTGCAAACGTTTGCAGTTATAGCTCATCAGGATGGAGGTCCTGGAATTGAGTTCCAACATTTTGGAGCATGTATGTTCTCCCCATGCATGCATGGGTTCTTTCCAGGTGCTCAGGGTTTCTCCATTCAGAAAAAACATGACCTTAGATTAACTGTTCTCTTTAAATTGTACCTTGGAGTCTCCTTGTTCTCCTGTGAGGCTAGTGACTTGTAAAATGACCACTGGAAATGGGCACCTATTCTGAAATGGCACTAGCAAATCCTAAATAAAGCAACAACCTAATTCATACACTGTGTAAATTATAAATGTAGAAAAACTATAAAAAGTGAAAACAATTGTTCTTTGACAGAGACAATTAGATTTACCAGAATAAAACTTAGGAAAAGACATTTTAGGTGTTTATTCAAGGTTTTTCAACAACTCACTTTTAGGCAAAGGATAGTAATTTAGTCATATTACATGGTTTAGATTTACAGGAAAAAAAAAAAAAACGGATAAGCACTTCTGGACAGGACCTAAATAAGAACTGTGTACACACTTCTGTTACAAAAATGGAGCCAAACTGTGTATGAGCAGGTAAACGGAGTTTCTGTTAAAAGGAAGGGAGGGATGATCACATTGATACATATAATTAAGATTTTACAAACAATGTCTCAATTCGTCTCCTCCCACATTTAGAATAGCAACGATACGATAAATGAAAACTGGGAGTAAAAAACAGCAAATAATATTTATATATAATAAAATATAATACTAATTGTACAGTACACTCATTATTTCTGTTGTCCTTTTCATATCCTGAAAGAGTTAACAGCTTTAGTCATCTTTGTGTTTCATTCACACATTTTTTTTTAAAAAAAGTAACAAAAGTAGTGTACAGTATAAAAACGGTCGACTAAGCTTTTGTGTTTCAGCTTCTTTTCCGTAAATCACCTAGCATCAAGCTGTGCCACTTTTGTGAGCTACTTGGTATTAGATCCTAAAGATTAATTTATATTAAGGGGAAATATTTCAGCATAAAAAGTGAATCTGTTCAGTGTAATAAACAGAGCATTAAATGAGGACTACACAGTATAACTATGAATAATGTGATAAAGAATAAACTGGTACATCAATCAGCCCTATGAAAAACATCCGATTTTTGTTGATGCACAAACACGGCAAAAGGGATTTAGAACGAGACAAACACGATGGAAAGTACTGACAATTTTCAAACAAATGCTACAAAACAAAAAAAAAAAAAAACATGATCTTTAGTTCCTTTACCTTTGAGGAACAGGAGGCAGATAGTTTGGGCGGTTTTGATTTTAGGTCTTTAGAAGTCCAAGTCATTTTATCAACCACCTCTGCTGTTGTACTGGGATTGTTTAAAGGCTTGTCCAGATAAGGGGGTGGGGACAGTCTGGGAGTTGAACTAAATATTTCCCTTCATTCCCCACCCTATTTTGTTAAAAACGTGCTAAGATCTTGGATTATTTAATAAAATATAAACATCAAAAAACAATCTAGTCTAAAAAAGAGAGTTTGTGTTTACTGACTGTACTCAGTCAGAACTGTTGATCTCTCAGGCTGGGCCAGACCCGGAACCGTCAACGGGACTGGAGAGTGGTCACTAACTGACACTGATCTCATCTTTGTCAGCTCCCAGTTTTGAGCAACACTGCCAGTGCTCGCCCCCCGGCAGGAGAACCTGTGGCGGGCCAGGAGACATGGGTTCCAGAAGCGATGTTGGCATTTGTGGCACTGGAATGCAGCCTGCTTGAGATGGCGACTCCTGTGTTTCAAGGCTTTGTGTAATGAAGTGGTGCGTCGCCCACACACCTGGCACCGCAGGCGGGCATGACGCCCTGAGTTTCTCGGTGGATGTCTGACGGCGTGGTGCACCAGCAGGGAGCCCTGTTTGGCGTATGTGGCACTAGGGCAGATGGGACAAAGAAAGCGTTTGAGGGGGACGTCCATAGAGGTGAGCCCTGTGACTCTGACCGCACCCCCGCACCATGACTTTACTTTCATCACTCCCCCCTTCATCCTCAGCTGGGCCAAGAGCTTTTTCCTATTGATGTGCGCCTGTAGTCTTCCCTTTTTCCTCCTCAGAATCATCAACTTCTTGCGAGTGTCTTTACTCAAAGGGACTCCCACTAGCTTCCCGTCTCTCATGATGCTATGGATTACAATGCGCCGTTTTTTCTTTCGGTGCTTTCTTGTCTGTCCATGGCGCTTTTGGAAGTTTTTTGAGCGGTAGTGAAAAGGGTGTTGCAACTGTTGTTGTGGTTGTTGCTGCTGCTGTTGTTGTTGCTGCTGCTGCTGCTGCTGTTGTTGCTGCTGCTGCTGCTGCTGTTGCTGTTGTTGCTGTTGCTGCTGTTGTTGCTGTTGCTGCTGCTCAGCAACTCCCTGTGGTATGTGGGATGATCCAGCATAGTTGGAACCTGGACCAGAATCATAAAACAGTGGGGAGTATCCAGAGGGTTGAGACTGGTTGACACGTTGACCGTTGCGGTCAATGCCATGTTGTGATAACTTGTGCCGCACTAAGCTGTTGGAGTAGGCAAAGGCTTTGCCGCAAACTTCACAGCGAAAGGACTTCTCCAGGCCCACCCCACCGCCGTGGACAGTCTGTTGATGTGCTGTCAGGTGGAAATAGTGTCGGAAAGACTTCCAACATACTGTGCAGGTGTAAAGCCGCTGAGAGGGTGTGCCAGATGTTGGAGACTTCTCTTCTTGGGAGCATGATGAGAAGTAATCTGAGTTTCCAGAGTTGGCAACTTGACTGATTGCAGCAGCAGCAGCTCCACCTTTTATTCTCCGACCTGTATTGTCAATTTCCCCTTTTCTGTGAAGCTTTCCATGCCGAACAAGGCTCTGTGCATAGGCAAACAACTTCCCACAAAGGTTGCATTTGTAGTTCTTTTGACCGGAGTGTACGGTCAGATGCTTAGTGAGGTGAAAAGGTTCTCTGAACATTTTTCCACACACTTCACAGGCATGAGGTTTCTCTCCGGTATGAACCCGGTTGTGGCGCCTCAGTGTCTCCGCCCTTCTAAAGCGTTTGCCACAAATCTGACAGCCATATGGCCTCTCTGAGCCATCCCCTGGAGGTGCTGGACTCCTCCTCCTCCTCACGATTGTGTTTGGATCCCTTTTTTCTCTGGGCTTTCGAGGCCTCCGGGGCTTTGTGTGGGGTAGACTGGGGTGAGTCAAAGGCATGGTGGAACCATTTAGGCTAGTTGACGATGGTCCGCCCATGTTTCCAAACCCCAAACCTCCCAGCAGACCCCCAATGATGTCTCTCCTTTCTCCTTCTCGACTTTCCGAGTTGATGTCACAGGAGGCGGCGGCGGCGGCAGCAATGGCTGACATTGCACTGCTAGTGACCTCATCCTCTGAATCATCCAACAACGAGGACAAGGGAAGGTGGGGCTGCTGCTGCTGTTGTTGGTGGTGGTGATGTTGCTGCTGGCTCTGAGGATGGGGATGAAGAGTTGGAGCTAACGGGGCCTTCCGTAGAGTTTGGCTAGTCATTTCGTTGCCTAATGTATTCTCTGAGGAATAGAGCGTGGAAGACTGTGGACGCCTGTAATCGCCTACCCCACTATTGTAAGGTGGCTGGTTCTGGTATCGATTTCTGGAATAATCTGTTGCATACTTGTCATCTGTCATGCCAGCCCCATCAGTTGAAATTCCTACCCTACTCTCTGCACTATTTCCCATTTTACTGCTGCTTGGGTTGGATGTTGTATTCCCCCCACCGCTGGACCGATTTTTTGAGCTGCGGGGAGGTTTGCCACAAGCACCCGAAGCAGCGTGGTTGAGCAGAGAGGTACTTTCACGGAAACAACGCCCACACGCCGGACAACGAAATGGCTTCTCATCATGAATCTTCTCGTGTCTTGTCAGTGACTCCCGACGGTTGAATGACTTTTGGCAAATGCTGCAAACAAAAGGCCGGTTTTCTGAGTGGGTGACACTGTGCTGGATAAGGTGACCTCTCTTTTTGAACCTCTTCCCACACTCACCACAGCAGAATATCCGCTCTGGGCTTGGAGAGTTACAGTCCGACTTCCTACTTTGGCTTTCTGGTGTCAAGCCATGGCTTCGGAGATGCCTTCGTAGGCTGGAAAGGTGAGTGAAGGTTTTACCACATTCACCACAGTGGTACAGGGGTTCTGGTTCAGGCTGCCCAGACGAGCTGCTATGACGTTCTTGTGGTTTGGGCAATTGTTGGTTGCCATTGGCTACAAGCACAGAAGTGGAGCTAGAGGATGCGGAGGCTGATGAGGATGATGAGACAGTGGAAGATGACTGCTGCTGAGAGGAAGACGAGAGGAGAGAGGAGTGCTGTGTCTCACTTCCAATGCCACTTAGCCCAACACCCCCAGATCTCCCTCCCACAAGGCCTGAAGAGGAGCTCTGAGTGTGCCCACTTGAGCTGTTGTTATGGCAAGTAGTTACACTGCTGCTGGTGTGGCTGTGACTGCTCTGACTGTGGCTGCTACTTTCAGCTTTTCTCTGGGGCAGATAACCTGCCATTGCCTTCTTCCTCCTGCTACCCCCACTTGAAGCAGATGCAGACGAGTTGTCTCCTGATTTTGTTGTGTCTTCTTTAGACAGAGACAGGTGCAAGGGCAGGGGGAGGGGAAGGCCCGCCTCCTGCTGCATTAATGATGCTATCTGGTTTGAGGAAAGTACTGGAATGCTTTGGAAATCAAAGCCACTCAGCGGGGCAGGCTGAGGGGCTGGATGCAAGGGGTGCGGGTGGTGAGTGTGGCTGTGTGGATGAGATAAGGCATGAGGGGTCAGCTGTTGTTGCTGCTGTTGGGTCTGGGGAGCACTGTGGCTGTGAGAGGAGTGGAGGGCAGGAGGAGGGGCCAGGGCTGAGTTGGATTCAGTCGCCCCCTGGCCAAGACCTAAACTAAGGTGGTTGTGAGTTCCCTGCTGGACAAGGAACTGCTCAAGGCTACTATTTGTTGGGACACCAGACAGAAAGTACTGGTTGGCAGCAAGCATGCAGCTGAACTGTTGGTGGAGGCTGCGGGGATCGGACTGGCCAACCAGGGGAACCGCAGTGCTGCCAGAGGGGTTATTAGAAGCTGAAGCTGAGGTGGAGGGAGAAGGTGAAGACGAAGACGGACCAGGTGAGGGTTGAGGTACAGAAAGACCCGGATGCAGCGGAGGAGGGGGTGGTGCAGACGTGACCCCAATAACTCCAGCAGCCCCTCCACTGCTGCTTCCAGTGAAGTCGAAACGCCCCATTCCAGAGTGGAGCTGCTCCTGAGCAAGAGCCGCCTCAGCTGGATGAAAAGGCCGCAGAAACTGGGGATATCCGGATGAGGAACTCCCACTGCCACTACTGCTACTGCTGCTAATCTTACTGGACTTCCTGGAGCTGTGGGACGATGAGGACGACTGGCTTTGGTGGGAGATAGATGGAGGAGGGGCGCTCATTTTGGCGAATAATGATGAGGAGTCAGCGAAGGCATTGCTTCGAGAGCTCTGGAGGGATCCGAGCCCAAGACCGGTCAGCAGACTTCCAGAGGTATCAGCAGAGGGTTGGTGCTGCTGCTGGAGCTGTTGCTGATGCTGCAGTTGGACTTGTTGGTGGCTCAGTTGTCGTTCCAACCCAAGCCCTTTAAACTGGTGGGCTTGGTGTCCACTTAGCATCTCTAAGATGTCCATGGGGTACTTGCTGAACTGAAACATCTCCAAATATGGCTGTGACAAAATGTCCAGAGGGCAGAACTATCCTTTCCACTAATTCTATAAAACCAGCAGAGCCTTTAGTAACCTCTGGGATAGTCCAACTTTTGTTTCAGCCCCAAGCTTTGAAGGAGCCACTTTAGTCCAACAGCAACTAATGCGTCATTAGTTCTCATAAATGTTTCACTAAGTTTCTTTTTATTATGGAGTGAAGCCTTCAGGTGCTTCAGGAGGGAGGTTATATAAAGGATCATAAATAGAAAATTTACTAAATTACATAAAAGTCTGTAGTGTGTTTTTAAAGTGTTCCATTTTTTTAAGTTGAAGTCAGGCCAGGCGGTCCCACAGAGTGGAGTGTGTTCATTTTTCTAGAGGAGGAATAATAATCTCTTCAACAGTTTTCTGTCATCATATGTAAACCTCTGGGTAGCCTGAAGAAAAAAAAGAAAAAAAAACATGTAATCATTAGTCATTCTGTGCTTTGATTCTGATCAAATGAACAACACACAGAATGAAATTAGTGACTAAAGCTTGAAGCATAATGACTATAATAAATCAGTTAAAGTTTGTACCGATAGAATCCCACCAGTTTCAAATTAAACAAGCATTTTTGCAGGTATTTTATTTAAATAACAAGAAACTTACTGTGTAGTTTTGACACCTAATTTAGACCAGAATGTTTTTGTCTTAGGGAAACCACCTTGTAAATAGAAAAGCTTTAAATATTTCAAGATAGATTAGGTTTTATGCAAGTATACATGTGAGATATTTTTTATGTCAATTTATAGAAAAAAAGAAATGAAAAAAAAGGCAACTCCAAACATATTTTAAGGCAACTCCAAACATATTTTAAGCAATTGAAAAATTATTTATGAATACATACATACATGTATAACCAACTGGAAATGAACTAAACTATTAAACCATCTGACCAGTCTAAAAAATTGAGCCTCATTTAAATGACTTACAGCGTAAATGACAATTATCTTTAAGAGCCACTAGCAATATACAGCACCCAGGACTCAAATGTTGATTGAATCCTTTGCATGTTTTTGATATGGTGATAACTGTAATGCAATACATTACTGACAAATCATAACTGGCTGAAAGTTAGAAAAAGTAATTATTTTCATTGTAACTGTCACACCATACCCCTTCTTCTTCTTTCACCACAGCAGTGTCTTTGATGTAAATCTTTTAAGTCATCTGCTCGTGCCTATTAGTCGTGACTTTTCCTCTAGATGACACACAAAAAACCATCCATCATGTGAGGGTTAAATCAGTGCTTATTTCTGACCTTTCTTTAGCTTTCTGCAAAGCACTCGGCATGGAAACGTCTCCCTTAAGACAAAAAGCGCAGAGGCCAAACAGTCGTGTGCGTGCCGTCACATCTGTGTTCGGTTTGAAGCTTGGCAGAATGACAGCAGAGGCTCACCGAGCACAGTTACTCTACATTTTGAAGAATTTTGTGACAATACAGCATGAACTTTGTGCTGAAACAGCAAAGAAAAAAAAATGCTGCCAGAACCCACCAGGAACATAATAAAGGAATCATATAAAATTTGAAATTAAAGGAGGCAGTAATGACTGTAGGAGTAGAGAAACAGTGGGGAACAAAATATGGAGCAAATGGTACTACGAATGAGGAAACTGAGCTAATTCTTGTATTTTATGGAGCTCCAGGTGTAATCCTGAAATTAGGATTTTTTTTGTCTGATTTTAATTTTTTAAAACCACAAACAAATGTTTTTAAAACATTCAATAAAAATGTTTTACCTAGATATGTAATTAGTGTGGTCAACTTAATATAAGAAGTACAACTCAAGTACAGGACACAGCTAAAAAATCATTGGACATATAATGACAGAAAATAATTCAAATATAAATACGCAAAAACATTCAGTCTGGTTCTAATCTGTTTTCAGATGATAGATTGATAATAATGGTCTAGATGAGGCAGAGCATGCTGATCAAACAAAAGCTAATGGATTCATATTAATTATCACATTAGGCTTTTTACACAAAAACATATTTTTATACAATACTAATGAATTGCAAATGTCAGTTGTGTAGCTGAGGCCACATTAAGACAGGATGTGCATCTCCAATATGCAGTGCTGTTTGTGAAATCCGATCAGAAGACGCCCAATCTGGACTGTAAACAGTGCTCACCAAAAACAATAAAAATTGTGAAGAATAAAAAAATTCTTGAGAGAAATTAAGATTAATAATGTAATGTGTGTAATGAAGTGGTCTCCCTGAAAAGTGACACACTATAGAAGTTCAGAACAGAAGAAAGAGAAGATCAAACTGTTGCTGAGACACAAAAACATTTGATACAGCTAAAAAAAAGTGGCTAATTTTGTAGTTAGTTTAAAACCTGAATTCCAGTTTAACATGGTAGTATGCTGAATGTGACTCAATGATCTTCATGTAACTGCAACAGCTTATGCATTGATCTAAAACAAAAATCTCCCAAAATATTATCAAGTAAACCTTTTTATTCCTTCCTGCAAAGTCAATGCAGTTTCATAGCATCACCCAAACTGTGCCAACAGTCACTGACCACATTGTTTCGCCTTGTTTATAGAGTCTAGTGGATATTAATCACATAAAGAAAGATGAGTTCTTTAATCTGTCAAAACAAATTACACTTCTGTCACTTCAAGATAAAAAAAAGACAAGCACAACTGAACCTGATTGGTGTTAAGAGGGTATATTAGGGTCTTGTCAGAGACTCCAGCCTCTATTTCTCTGTAGGGTTTTCATCTTGCTGAGCTGCAGATTAAGCGCCACTCTTTTCAAAACAAACAACCATTCAGATACTTGCGATATGCTTTGATTTACGTGTTGAATTTGCTACCCATTCACATATTAAACCTAAAAAAATTTCAGTGATACACTGACAACAACAGATGCAAAGATTTCTCTCTAGGTCTGCAGCAATGGGACTGTTTACATGAGTGTTGTTTGCATCTCACCGGCTAATCCACAGATCCGAAACTCCAGCTGGGTGTTAAGAAGAGAGCTGGAGCATTTGAACACATCCCACTCTGTCCAAACGGGATATCACAGCTCGACAACCTTAAAAACATAATCAAATCAGGGGTTAGGTCGGACAAATAAGTCAGCAAATCCTTCTAGCATCTGTCAATAACCTCGGCTAGCTAACGTTGACTGCAACAAACGCTACTCTACCGCAAAAAAAGACGTAAAATCAAACTGTAGTGCCTTTCTATTAAGTGCAAAACTCAACTCTACTTTGTTCAGAATTATATTTAAGCGCTATATAAAGCAAATAAGCAAAAACTATACAGAGCAAGAAAACGTTTTATAGTCAGAAGCTAACAACTTAGCAGAGCCGTTAGCTTCTCTATGCTAATGTCAGTCCTGCTGGAAGCTGCTTTTGTTTATGTTTTTACCTTCCAAAATACGAATCCTGGTTGGAAAACGCCGCTGGGAAACACGGCGGTAAAAGTATGAGGGCATGGGGGAGGACGTGCGCTCTGAAAGCGGGGTCCCTAATGCCCGTCACTGGGGCCTTTTTCTCCATCCGTGGAAAAGCACCGTGAAAGGCCCGGGATCTCCATCTGCCCAGGAGGGCTGCTGCTGCTGCTTCTTTTCTCTCGCTAACAAAATCGCTGGCCTGCTCCCGTTTTGACCATTGTTTGAGTCCAAAGTCCTACAGCTCGACTGGCTCACTGCCGCTCAACCCCAACTCTTCCTCTTTATTTTGTCTCGGTTGCGGTTTTTCTGCTTTTCTCCTTGGCTTCCAGTTTCCCTCCCCGCCTCAGCTGCTTTAGGTGTCCCCCTCCGTAGACGACGGTTCCCCCGATGCTGCTGCTGCTAGCGGCAAAATGGTAGTTTCCTGTCTGCATAATGGTTCCGGGTAGAGCCAAGCAAAGGTAATTCTGTCCGGCTGGAGTGCTTACAGCTATCAAATCCGATCCAGGATGATGCTCATGAATTAATGAAGCTGTGTGTGAGAGAGAGGCTGTACGGGTTCATGCATCATGCAATAAAAAAAATAATTGTGTGCATTCTGACACTCTGTGTCATCAAGTTCCTGTGTGTGTGCTTTCACACCTAGAGTGCAAAATGTTAATTAGTCTATTGAAGACGCCAACACGGCGCATGCCAAAGAGCATGTTTGGTGTGTGTCAAACATATTTGTGTGGTTGGTATCTTATTTGCATTTCAATGAGGTGTACTCTTATTGAGCACTCATAAAAATAACTTGTTGAATGAATATTAAAATAATGGGAGAAAAATACATTTTTCTCTCCGTAGACGACAGAGAGAATTATTCCTTTATTTTTCTCAGAAGATTTTCTAAATGTGAGGTAAAAAAATAAATAAAAGTCGAAAACTTTTAGCCTTTTGTTGTTGAAAATGTTACATTCCCATTTAGAAATATAGAATGCCTCCAAAGTCAGAATCCAAGTCGAAACACATATTTTCTGTATACAAATTAACTTGTTCCTCATAAAGTGCATTGGCATTGTATGTTTTATGCTAATTAATGAACAGAACTGAAACTGAATTGAACAACCCAATATGTAGTGACTGTCATCTGTATTGTTGCATTAGATTTCTGCTGGAAGTCTGAGCTTGGATCTATTTCTATGGGATTTCCACACTTCTGCAGAAATATTACTGTACATTTCCCAGAAAGATAAAAAAAATACATTGCAAGGATGGAGTATAATTCAGCACTGAAAAGATGGGAAAAAGCAGTAAGAAAAAAGCTGAGTATTCAAACATTGTTTTTAATTTTTTATGTAGGCCAACAATATTGTTTCATGCTGAAACAAAAATGCAAGTCAATCTTTTAATTATTATTTTTTTTAATTTTAGTTGAACAAGCCATTTTCCAAAGTAACAAATTTACATGGAGCCTTAAACCAAGGTAAATAAAAAGACAAATTAGATTTGGTTGGATATTTTTTTATTATCATTTAAACAGTATGATTTCTACAAATGCAAGAATTGATCACCAATAACAAAAGGGTTGCACATCTGTGAGACTGTTGTTGGGATATTCTTGGAAATAGACATATGAGGGAATGTTATAAATAATTTATCATACAGCTTGAGGTATGCAGAGTAGCTTTGAGAATACAAATATGCCCATGCCTCCCCTCCCCCCACGTGGTTAACACACTCACACATAAATACAGGCACACAGCTTCATCAAGGGAACTGTTAACTCATCATGGAATACAACAGTAAACGACCTCTGAAATTATGAGGAGAAATGAGTGAGACGTCAAAAGATTGAATTCATATTCAACATTTTCTCATTGGTTTTTACTCTCAGTTCTTTAAAAGCAACTAAGGCAGGCCACAACATATTCTTTTCAGTGACAGCAGTTGTTGCTTAAAAACATTTAAATTAGGGTTGAGCCCCCTGCAAGAACAGTGACTTTTTTTTTCAAACTTCTATGCCCTTAAAATTCTGTAAAAATGAGCACGTAGGAAGAAGCTGCATTAGAAATCTAATCTGTCAAACATCAGCAACACAAACTGATGAACCATGCGATAAATTAATCCACTCAGCTATTACAGGTCCCTATAACTGCTATAATTTATCACCATATAAGTCTTTGAAAATTCACATTTTAAAATGTTTAAAAAGTCATTGCTTTGGTGAACACAGCTCAAATTGAAGGGGAGGGAGTGATCAATGTCCCTCTTCCAAACAAAAGTGACAATAAAGAGACAATAATGGAAGACCAAAAAAAGCACAAACAGGCTGATATGAACAACAGTTGTATTTTGGATCAAAGTATCATCTTCATGATCAATTTTAGACAAAATCAGTGTCAGCATTCCTATAACAAAAATGACAGGGATTCTAACACACGGGTATGTAAATTTTAAACAGACGCATGTACAATTAGATACATAGACGCCATGACATCGTAAGTCAGCAGTGTGACATCTCTAACACTGGCTGCTGACATCATCATGCAGCCGGTCTTTTCTCCTTGATTGCATTTGCTCTTTTTTGTTCCCGTGATTACAACGGCTTTCCTTTTGTTTTTATGTTGTTTTGTTTTTTTCCAACTCCACTAGAAAGTTGTAAAATTGAAATTTCAGGCATATACATTAAAATTTACAGAGATTAAAAAAATAAAAGAAGAGATCATGATAAGAGTGCTCACTTTCTCATTTGGGGAGGTTGGGGTTTTTCTGTTTTTCTTTTTAAATCAAACCACTGACACATGAGTACATAACATAGAAAACTACAAATGGCCGGCAGGAAGCATCACTCAATCAGTGGCATCAGTCTTTATCAAAGTATAGCTTCACTATGAAAAAGAAACCCAGCCAGTACAGCCAGAAGGTCCATCTTATCGGCAGAGAAACAAACAAAAATCCAAAAATATGACATCTTTATGGAAAGCTTCCTCCCCTGTAACAATAATCAACAAAATTATATTTTTACACAAAGCTTCTTTTGCAGAAATCCCCTGCATTTCTTTTCTCTCTACATGTGAAGAAATCTGTGAAAATAAGCACAAGCATGCCTCCCAACAGATACAAGAGATGAAAATGAGAAGCAGACACTGTTTAGAGCACAGACACACAAAGATAAATTCAGTTTAGCCCTTAGTGTGAAGTGTCCATTGTTCCCCCGCTTCAAACCCGTCAGCCTTCCTTCCCTTGGTGCGAGGTGAGCAGCTGAACTTGCAGGAAGCATGTGGCATCTTGGACGAACGGGAGGATCTGTTCTATGCCAGTGCGCTGCAAAAAGAAGCCCTCGACTTTACAAGTTACTTGTGAAAAGTTTGAAACATGGCCAGGGGATGTTTATTCACAGATCGGTTCCTTTTAATGAGAGGTCTAATTCAAGACATTCTCAATATTACGTTTCATAAATGTCGTACACTCACTAGAATCCACTGTACAAGGCTTTAAGTTAGCTTAAAACATGGTTACATACTGAATGGTAATTTTAGGGCCCAGTCACACAGGCATCACTGAATTTGTTTAAGTCCCTGTAATAATTTCAGACTCCAACTATACTTCTACAAGCGTTTCACTTGATATGTTGGGGAAAAAAAATGTAAAGAGCTTTTTTAAATTCTCAGTCCAAATAAGAATTTTATCTTATCAAAAAAAAAAAAAAAGGAAAATAATCCCACCCTGGACCAATAGGTGCCAGTATTGTTTACATTTTAAAAAACAATACAAAAGGAAGAACAATGTGAGCTGGATATTGGTCATTTTACACTTATGTAACTTTTACAGCTCACTTTACATCCGACTTTTCACAGTTAAAAGAAAACATGTCCAACAGATGATTTGTTTGCGTGATTTCGTATGTCTTTTAGGGGTTGATGCATACCTGCTTTGACCAGTGGTGAGTTAAAGAAATTTTCTATAATTTACTTTTAGTCTAAAAGACGAAAAAAGTTGTCATGATATCCTGAATAGCAACCAGAGCTTTCTCACAGCAATTCTGATTTGATCAGGGATCACAATTTAAAAAAAATATTTCATAGTCAAATGACTTAAATGGGGATCAGAATCAAAATCAGTAGAAATATCTTGTAATTAATTGTAAACAATCTCAAAATGTGCAAAAAAAATAATTGTACATGAGTCTTTTAGAACAATTTTTGACTATGTATCACCATAAATTATCAACATCAATAACAGTTGTTGTATGCATTGTTTTAAATACATGAGTGCAAAGCAGGGGCACAAATTAGAGACAAAGATATTCTCAAATTATACAAGCCTGTCTTGTTTGACTTGGTGAATTCAGCAGTGATCAAAGTTGCCCCTTTTATTGTCATTGAACAAACTATCAGGTCAGAATGACACAAAAACTGAGAATTGGCACTATCTGGTCAAATCATGATCCGTGCATCTTAATCATATGACTGAGATTTATTGGAAACAAGAAGAGAATGAAACTAACATAAAATAAACATGATGGAAAAACCTATTCAAATTTTTCAGAAAACTGATATTTTTCTTTTTCTTTTTGACGTGAGACTTGATTTATTAAAAATGTGAAGTATTTATTTGGAGCACCGGCTTGATTTTGTTGTTTTGTTGTGAAGTGCTGGTGTGACTGGGCCTTTGTGGCAGCAGCATGAGTCGACGGTGTTGTTTTTATTTCTAAATTTCTAGTCTTGAATTATTGAAGCTGTAAAGTCATCAGATGACTGTTAGCTGCACTTGGCTCGAGTGATTCAGCAGTTTTACATTAATAGTCCAATCACAACTACAGAAAGCGATGATCGTCTAATCCAGCCTTTAAGTTACAAACCGGCTGGCTTTAAGGATAAATACGTGTTCAACTAAGTATACACAAAATCCTACAGGGCTCAGTCATGTTAATGTAATCAATATCGAGTTATTTTCATACAAAAGTAACTTGTTTGGTTCTAAATATTGTTATAAAGACAACAACAAGCAAACCTGTCTCTCTCCAGGCTCGGTGCTCTTCACCATCCACAGTGGATTCAACGACAGATGAATTTCTGTCAGAGCACTCGAGGACTCAGAGGACAGTGCAATAAAACTCAAGGACGACTCGACAACTTGGCGGATATCCTTCAATAAAAGTCACAGCGAATACCCAGCAGCCTCTGAGCTGCATTTTTTTTTTTTGCTCTTTTTATGAGGATTTTTTTTCTTCCTTTTGCAAAGAATGGCTGAATATTCTCTTTTTCAAAACATAAAGTGACAAGAGGAATATCGGTTGGCTTTACTAACATGAATGGTGTCATCAACCATTGTTTTTTGGGGAGAATTTGTTTTAAAGGTTGAGCAGCCAGCTGGGGTTAAACTCATTTCTGTTTATTCTTCATCTCTCTTCTTTATTCTTCCACTGATTGGTTCCTCTCCTCATTCTTCACCTGTCCTTCTCCTCTTCTTCTCCTCTCACACCGTCACCTCATTCTTACTTCCAGTCCGCAGTCCCTGCCCTCCTCCGCCTCCAGGGATGAAGTGCAGCTGTTCGATGGTGTTTTGCCTTTTGTTGGCAAAAGCCATGCGCCGCGCGCTGGGTTGGCCTCCGATTATCCCCGCTCCTCCTCCGCTATGGCCCCCGTGGGAGTCCCAGCCGCCATGCATCCCCATCACGGGCACAGCTGTGGAGCCGCGCTCGTGGTCGTGGCCTGATGTCGGGTGGGAGTTCATCTTGATCATGTGGTGGCGGTCCATGGACGGCGTGGCACAGATGTTCTGCTGCGACTGGGCCTTTTGGTGGTGGCTCAGTCGGCCCATGGTGGGAACCATCCCGCTCCCCCCTCCCCTCTCCATCGTTCCCATCGGCAGACCCATCGTCATCAGGCGATCCTCCAGACGGTCCGGAGAGACGAGCAGACGCTCATGAGACCTGAAAGCAGACGGCCATTTAATTTGACTGTAAAGATGGTCAGGACACAGACTCTGTAACAGTGGAGACAGTTTCTTTCCATGAAGGAAAGAAATTGGAAATTTGATGAGTGAATCAGTTTCTTTTAATCACATGGATGTTTATATTAAATGAAATGCATCACACTTATAGGTGCAACAATTTCTCAATAAACTGAATTATTGAGTTTAATGCATAACAATGTAGATGTTAAAATACATGTAATTAATTAATCAGAAATAATGAGATAAAGTTCCAATCCTATCCTTTATATATTTAATATTGGTTATCAGACAGATAACTGATGATGATTAAGATATACTTTTTTTTTCAAGGTTTTACTTTTCTGACTAGCGTCGAAAAGAAAATACTACATTTTGAAATGTTCTTTATAAAAGCATTGATTTAGAAGTAAACACACTTATATACCAGATTATTTCATCTGATTTCTTTTTTTTCCTCAAACAGATTTGTTCATTTTATCATCTTAACTGACAGGCCAAAAATTCTCTGTCTTGGAAGTTCACCGGTGTGCATCTTCACATTGTCAGACTTCTGAAACTTTAATGAAATCGTCTAACTCCTGTCCCATATTTCCCTTTGCTTTCCTTCCTCCATCCTTTCTGGATCACATCTCATTATGATCTGTTTTCATTTCCATCTTTCCTGATTTCATTTCACTCTCCAAGTTGTCAGATCTGATCGTCTCCTGGCTCTAAGCTCACCTGCGGAGCGTCTGTGAAGTGGAGCTCCTACTGGTACTCATCATGGCTTTGCAGTACTGGTGCTGCTGGTTCTTGTTCAGGCGGGACAGGGTGTTTCCCTCCCCGAAGGCCAGCAGCTGGTCCTGGGAGCGGACGCGGCGAGGCGGCCTGTCGAAGGTGGAGCTGGTGTAGGGCGCCTGGGAGGGAAGCGGGTACGGGTTCGGGGTGGAGGTGGGGATGTGGAGGTGTGGACGGGATCCATGGAGGGGCAGGGTGCCCCTGGATCCCAGTGTGTAGTCGCCACCCCAGGGAAGGTGGTGCTGCGAGGAGTGGAAGGAGGGTGGGGCGTTGTTGGAACGACGTTTGTTGGTGTAATAACCCGAGTATTCATCAAGTTCTTTCTCTGTTGCATAAAAAAAGGGAAAGAAAGAAAATTTGTTAAATGTAAACAAACCATTCGTAAATGTGAGCATCCTGATGAGTCTTAATTTAAACATCACATCCGCAATAAAACATGATTGAAATACTTTAGGTTTGCCTTAAGCATTTAGTCAGACCTCATCCTCAAATCTTCTAATGTTCTAATTGTTGGTCTGAAATATGCAAAAGTGAGAAAAACTTTACACCATGGAAAATAACTGACTGCTTGCTATAAGCAAAGCGACTAAAGGGATGTTCCCTTTACACTATTTTGGTCTCCAGTGACACTGACAAGAAAGATGGAAAAAATAGAAAGTTGAAAAAGGAACAGCAGCAAAAAAGTACAGAAGAAAAGAAATTAGAGACAAAAGTGGCAAACCTTTAGAACAAAGAATATGATGTAAAAACAACGGGGAAAGAAATGCATGGAGTGTGGCAACAGAGGGGAGTGAAATTCTTTGAGAGAGGAGTACCGGCAGCAAACAAGGAGATGAAACGTAGATAAAAGAAATTACAACAAGGCATAAGAGAATAATACATGAGAAAGGACAGTGTAAAAAAAAGCACAAAGTAACAGAGGTTGAATGAGAAAGGACAGCAAAGAGAAACAAAGTCAACAGAGACGAAAGTCTTCATTAATAGAGAAATAACAGTGTTTCTGTGCTTTCTGCTCCATACCCCGAGTCTGCTTTAATCTTCAAAGTATTTCCATGGAAGCAGCTCTGCAAGAGCCAATTTAAAACCTGACCTTTAACCAGCTAGCTCTCTACCTCTTCCTCTCCTGTCTTTTTTTCTCTCACCTTCTCAGGCCTCTTCCTTTCTTTCTATTTGTTCCTCTGCCTCCATCTTCTCATAATTTCCGCCAAATGTGGAGGTTTTCTGTCTACCTTTCTTTTGCCTCATTTCCCTGTTTTCTATTCTCCCTGATGATCTCATGTCCTCACCCTGGCCTCCCTCTTCTCTCTTTGCTCGCTCTGTTTAAGGCCAAATTATCTCGAGGGTTTTTTTTTATGCCTGGCCGCGGACAAAGAAGCCTTTATCGATGTCATTTCTGCAGGGAAGCACATCAAAAGCAGCAGGTTTCATTCAGCAGCAGCTGAGTGGCCGTTTTTCATCTGCTCTGTGTCATCCTGACATTTCACTCCCCTCCTGAAAAAAATTGTTCCCCAAAAACTGTTTGATGAAAATATGAGAGTTGATTTTGCAGAAAACCAAAAGCAATGCTTTAATTCAATGTGACAATGATTCACACTGTCTGAAGAGGTGCTATGCCAGCTAACACCGTGGATCAGTCAGTTCATGAGATCTTTACTCACAATTAACTCACAATAAATTAAACACTCAATTCACATCATCTACATTAAGTATCTTCAAATATTTTACAGTCTTGAATGGCACAACCAGTTGTTAGCTAGCACTGCTAGTGCACCTCATTTGTTTTTATCTCTCCTTTTTAAATCTCTGTTCGTAAGCTTAGAAAAATGAGCAGAGAGACGTTGGAGTAGGGGATATGATTCTTATCTATAATAATGGACGGAATCCATCTTGATCTCTAGTAGCATAAAAAACACTTTCCAAGCAATAATTGAAGATGAAAAATATTTAGTAATATATTATTTTAAAAACATTTAGCTTTATGGGACTGCTACATTTTCTGTTAAATGTTTTTTTTTATTTTATTTGTAGATGTCTAAAACTAGATTTTGATGTCCATGTTGGGCCTTTCTAAATAGAAAATGAACATGCAGGGAGTAAAACTCAATTTTACTAAAATTTTATACCTCATGTCCATCAGAACTAAGCAGGCAAAAGAGTACACTGACACTTTATGAAGATTTTTAAAAATAAAACCTCTTTTCTTTTCTTTCCAAGATTTGCCTGATGAAAGAAATAATGTAAACAGAAGTGGATAATATGGACAGTGCAAAATCTGACAAATTCTTAGCTACCGTAATTCTTTAAGGACTTTATAACCTAAAATCACACAGGGAATATAGTCAGATTTTTTGTGAAAGAAACATTTACATAATAAATATTTTACTTGTTTGTTTCTATATGCTCATAAAATCTAAATGTACACACATATTAACCACTATGTGATTGTTTCAAGCTGTGAAAGAGTGATGCTTTAGACTCATTACAAGGAGTTCAAACAACAAAAATACCTCTCAGAACCCTGCTTGGTATAATTTAGCAATTTTGTGTGATTTACAGCCCTGAGCACTGCATGCAATGCATTTTAGTTGTTTGTTTATAAAAATTTACTTCTAAGAACAATACTGTTTTGGATAAGTACAGTTTTGTTTAAATGAAACCAGTTCCATGACTAAACTCTGAAATTATATCTTTTACTCACCAGGTAAGCTAATAATATTTATGTAAAGCATACATGTATATTTAAACGTGTCCACAATTTGATCTACCCTCCATTAAGCTTTGTGGCAACATTTTAACATGCAATTATTTTTTCCCAACTATCTGCAGTTATTTGTGGCTTTTGCTGAGATCCTTCATTGTTTAGAGAGTATAACCATAAACAGGCAAATAGAAAAATAATGACAGTGAAAGAAAAATTTATGCAAAGGTTTCTAAAAGAGAAAATATGGAGTCTATCTGATGGTTAATTGTGGGAAAAACTCTGACTAATAATATCTATTCCACGCAAACCTCTGTTATAAACATATGTAATATATAAAACATTTCAAGCATTATTTTTAATTGTAAGCAAATATAAACTACACTGTAACTGCCTATAAGTCGGCATAAGTGTATAACTATTAAACTAAAAATGGGAGAGGAGAGGCAGAGAAAAAAAAAGAAGAAAAAAACTAAGATGCGAATTACTGACTGGAGTTTTATTTTTGCCAGGAGTCAGATCATCGGTTGTTGAATACGAAGAAACCTTTTTTCCCTTCTGTATTTATGGAGCGTTTCCCCTTTTGACTGAATCGAAATAATAAAGAGCCTCCTCTCAATTACGCCTTCACATCATTCCATCCATGTAGCGCCATGCTCGTTGAACACAGACTCATAAGGGTCATCCCTCATGAAGTAACCATCCGTCACAAGCCTGCAGGGCGACTCCCCTCCCCCTGCAGTCCTCGGCCATCACAGAGTGAGTGAAGTAAAGGAAGCAACTGCCTCGAAAATCGTTTCCTCCTCATCGAAAGCAGCCAGACCTCTGCAGATCCCCCTCCCCCATCTCTTTCCACAAGTGCCTTCTTCCACTTTCCTTTTTTTTCCCGAATGACCTCTGCATCAGCATCTTCCTTTATCTTCTACCTTCATGCTGTATCGTCACTCACCATGACACTGCCTCTAAAATTCCCCTCTACTCTCTCTCTTCTGATCAACCCTTCTCTCAAATTCACTCATTCATCCTTTTCACTGACGTCTTCCTCATCTGTGCCACTCCCTGTTTGATTTATACTGCAGCTTTTCTTTACCACTTCCTGTCAAGCTTTATGTCATTTCTTGACATAAATCTTCCTGAAATGATCCACAAAGAATGCAGTAAATTTCAAAGCAGGATGATCAACAAAGCTGCTGACCTACAGTAAATGGGACTTTTATATAACCTGTTTTGCATCCATAAATCAGTACATTTATACCACGCCGAGATGTTCTCCCAACACTGGCAAATAATGGAGAGCATTATACCAGCAAGCAAGAACGAGTAAAACGAAGCAAAAGCGCCCACGTTGCTCTTTTCCACTTGTTCTGACAGGTTAAACTCAGCATTACGATCGGTCTGACTGATTCTGACATTTGTGCTCCCACATTCAAATCCTCTGCATGTCTCAAAAATCTCAGAACAACCTTTGTGTACATTTTTGCTGCTGTCTGAATTCTAGAAGGAAATTCTACGACTTTGCACTTTTTGTTACTAATCTTGCAGCATAGTGAATAATGATGATGGGAAAGAAAAGCTCATATGGGAGGAGGGCATTTTTTCATCATCAAAAACACACTTGTATACTCTGGTGACCACAAATAATAACCACTTGTTTTATTTTGATTTTTCATCAATTCTATGTCAATGGTTTTACCCAATCAAAAATCTCCCCTAGAGTAGACAACTGTATAGTTGGACTGTTTCCATTTTGTCCTAATTGATGAATCACGAAAAGCATTATCAATTATAAATGTCATTGCTTCAGAGAGATCTTGAAAATAAATACAATAGCTTTTTAAGAAGTTTTTGTTGACATCAAAATTTATTTATTTTTTGTCACAAAACCGTATTTTTTTTTCCTATTTTTTTATTCCCAATTTTGATCCATCTGCTGAAATTGACTTGCATATTTAAAAAAATTTCAAACCGTTTAACCAACAGGTGGTGCAACATGAGCAAAAAACACAATTTTAAGGGAACGGCATTTAAATGTTGCAAGCAAAATTAACAGAGTCTTAATAAAACACAGTTAACATACTGGCTTTGGCTAAGTTGCTCTGCATGAAAATATAAATATTGAAATGTTTCTGAATTCATTTTAATAGCAGAAATGAAAGAGGCAGAATTAGTAACCACAAAATATCATCTTATTAAATGCTGATTTTCTTCATAGAGGGAACAAAAACCAAACCAAAGTGATCTTGTATGAGAAAGTAATAATGAGACTCCTCATTTATCACTATTCTCTTTTTCTACATTTGTGGATAAAATCTCACACTGTGGTGAAATGGCTTTGAACTCTTTTCCAGACTGACAGATATTAATGACTTTATTTCTTCAGATTCTGTGTTGCCTTTTGAGATCCTTATCCCTACTTCACATTACCAGACATTAAAGAGATTTGTTAAAGTGTCACGTTAAAGTGATTTCTTCACTCTCGAGGTCAACCAGTAAAAAAGCCTGAGTTTCTCTAGTGAAGCTGATGCAAAGATCTGGTGAAAATAAACTGAATTTATTAGTTAAGGGGGCTAATTATATTTCCACATAAGCCTAGTTGGGTTTAGATAATGGTTCCTTATCAGAAATGATCATATGAAATAATCATTCTGAAGTGTGTGAAATGTCCAAAACAGAAGCTGTACTTTTAATTAGCATTTCATATGAGAAACAAATAATAACTCACCCAGTTTTTTCAGGGAGCTGTAGCGGCTGAGTTCTGGTTTCATCACCGCCTCGTAGGACGGGGGCAGCTGCGCCAGGTTGTGGAAGGAGTGGGAGAAAGACGGGTGGCTGCTGTTGTGTCTCATGCTCCCGGTGAGGATGCCGACCCCACCCGGACCTTTACCGCTTCCTGAAATCAGGCTGGGCCCAGACGACAGCTGGGAGGTGTTGTTCAAACGAGGACCGCGCTCTGAGGAAAGACAGGAAGAAATGGACAGGAGGAAGAAACAAAAGAGAAGCAAGTTAGAGATTAAAAAAGATTGGATATGAATATGAAAAATATAATGGATGGAAGGAGAATAGAAGGAAAACAATGAGGTGAGAATTCAGGAAGAGAAAAACCTCTTAGGTTTTTACCATGTTACAAATGGAAACATCAATGTAATTTTTTGGGTTCTTACATGACAGAAACACAAAGTAGTGCATAACTATAAAGCAAAAGGAAAACAATTTTCAACATACAAGTTATTAAAAACATTTTAAAACATCAATCTCTCAAAGACATGGCCAACCTTAGACAAAAAAAGAAAGAACAAAAAAACATGTATGTGTGTCAGTAAATACGTGAATGAAAGTTCTCATCTAAACTTTTTGTGGAACAAAACTCCACGCACAACCAGAAACATGGTGGCAGCATCATGCTGTGGGAGAGGGGTAGATATACACACCGTGAAACCTGGAGGTCAACGCTTCAATATGTACAACAATAGCTACAATAGAATGATTTAGGTCAAAGCATGTGTTATTATGGCCCAGTCAAAGTCCAGAATTAAATATGACAAATGAAAATTGATGCTAATGAATGCTCTCTATCCAGTCTGACTGAGCTTGAATTATAAAGAAAAACAGACCAAAAAGTATTAATTTCAATCGCAAGACATGCAAAGCTGGCAAAGACGCATCACAAAAGACTACAAAGTAATGGCTCAACAGAGATACACATTTATTTCTCTTATTCACTGTTACTACTTTGTGTCTGTTGCAAAATCCCAATGAAATTAATTCAAGTTTTTGGTTTGTAACATAGTTACATTTTTAAATAACTAAGGAGTAAAGATTTTTAAAAGGAACTCTAAGAGGTAATGAAATGAATATGTTTAAAAAGTAGAGAAAAGAAAAAAATTGAAAAAATTAATATAATATTAACAAGAAGCAAAGAAAACAGTAAATGAACAAAAGAAAGGGAAGACTGAACAAAGGAAGATTCTACAAGCAGGGTAACTATCAGTGAACACAGGAAGTGTCTCTTAGCTCCATGGCGACCATCTATAAATACAACTCTGTACTGCTCATCTAAGATTGCAACACCAACATATCAGCCACATATAAATACACAGAAACACACTGATGGCTTCAGGAGGAATCTTAGTGCACATACAGTCACATTAATGCAAAGTGCAAAAGCAGCACATAGATCAGTAAACACAGAAATGACTTGTCTTATGTTAGCAACATGGAGGAGGAGAGGGGAGCATAGACGCCTGTTTTGCAGCATGTACACTGATATCAGTTATGTCATAAAGTATACAAACACATTCATATATGCTGCAAACAGCAGAGAGTCAGAGCTGTAAATGAGCCAACATGTGGGTGCACTCAGCAGGGACCTCACATGTGGATTCAAACAGAGACAAACGCTCAGATCTTCAATCAGAAACATGCCGATCAGTCACGATCATCCAAACAGGGATCAGAAATGTTGGCTCTATGAGGAGAGACAAAGAGAAACTACCTCTGGGAGTGAGAGCCAGAAAAACTGGAGAACAACAATTAAAGGTTGCATAACGTGGCCATTTACTGTTTCCTGTCTTCAATACAGACACTAGCAGAGTTCATTCAGGGTGGGAACGGTTATGGGCTGCGATCTTGTTAAGATAACTGCAGGACATATACTGGTCATTGACCATTGACAGTAATGGGCTGTAATGGCCAATGATGTCTCTGTTAAGTGCCACCCAGGGAACACACACCACATCGACCTCTGTACCCGTTACACACATACACACGCACACACATTGTGTAAAAAAAGCAATGCTAGTTCTGTGATTGTTTTAGTTTAAAGCTGGAAGTGAACATGATGAAGGCTGATAGAGAAAACAAGCAGAAAGCTTCAAGTAAAGAACATAACATACTGTGTTTATGTACCAGCACACAACTTAACGCAAAGGTGACCATGTGTGTTATTGTGTGTTTGTAATATGTACAGAGAAACTTTATGGAAATCTTCTCAGATTTGTTCATTTTATATGATGCAGGGAACCAATTCACTGAACTCCCCTCTGCACTGCCGCCTTTCCAACTCCAGATGTTATTCACTAAATACTAACAGAATCAGTTTAACCACTTTTGGGTGAGAGAAAAAACATATTAAATGAGCTATTTTTATTTTTTTAAGCAACTCTAGAATTGCCATTAAAAGTTTTTTTCATTTATAATCATGGGAATACATGTCATTAATTCAATTATAACACTTTACTTAGTTTTATAAAGAAGAATTGTTTAAATGTGTGGACTGAAAAGGCCCTGAGCAATAAAAATGATGCTGACAGAAAACCTTCAAGCTTGGCAGAGATTAGAAAAATCTTGGGAATAGTTTTGAGATCCAAGCCAAAAAGACAGAAAGACAAGTAAGAAGCAGCAGTGAAGTATGTAGATAGTGTAGACAGTGGTACTGGGCTGGTGCACATAACAAGGCAATACTCAAAAAATGTCAGTCAAGTCAAGATCTGATATCATTCAAAACTTGTGGATTGTTATTATAAGCTGGGTCAGGGCCAGTTCTTGTTTTGAAATGTCACTTAGGTTTATCATTTTCAGGTCATATCACCTTGGAAAATTGATGTTTATAATAAAAACCTATGATAAATGTATGTTTATTTGGCCAGAACTGTACAACTTCTGTGTCCTTTTCTTACACTATTACGTCATTTTGCAATGATGTGCAACTTGTATAAGAACTTCTACCTTCAGAAGATAAGATGCATCACATTTTTCAGGGGGTTTAAGTATCAGGCTGGTATCCTCAGAAATTGGGAAAAAATTTAATATGTGAGTCTCATAAAGTGGCTGTTAAAATGGAAAAACGAGAAGAATCCATCAAAAAAGAAACAAGCCAAAGAGAGAAGAGGTCATGTAATGGAACATGACTCCAAGAGGACAAACGATCCAATCAAGGTTTAAAAGCTCTAAAACCACAAATGCCTGATCATTAGAGGACATTAATGAGCTAAAATCCGATTTTTCTGTTAAATTCAATGTCTCTTCCTGATATCCATTAACCCAAATTAAAGCCAGCGCAACAAATGATAGATGCTCCCAAGCTTTGATTCTAAATGGAACCTAAAACATCAATTACTTTTAGTTTCCTTTTACTAATGAACGCCATCAATGTAACATCTGCAGGCAAAGCTGGCTCTAATCACTGCAGATGCCTTCTTGTGTAATTCATTCCAGAAGAAACGCATGTAGGTGTAGACGCTCAGAATAACTCGCACTAAAACTTAAAAAGTTCAGTGGAAATCACACTGATCCCTTTACCATCCGATCGCCATGGTAACCACATCCTACAGATCCTTCATCAGCGTTACTTTACATTCAGGAGTAGCTCATTTCCTTTCATGGACGTAACTTACATCGGTTTTATTTCTTTTTTTTTTAGATACGACTAGCATTGCTTTTTGTTTTCTTGGTGCAAAGCTGGGAGAAACAGAGCCGCTCTGTTCACAGCAAACCCTCCTCTCATGTTCGGTGTCAGCTGTAAGCGCACTCACACGTCACTGTGGCACAGAGAGATAAACAAAAGAGAGAAGAACAAGCACATTTGGAAGCAGGCTTGTGGTGGTAGTGGGTGACGAGAGGTGGGCAGACAGACTTGCAGTAAAGCCAGGGCAGGCCAGACAACTTTAAGCTTTCGCTCTTATGAACAACGTGCCAATTTCAACACAGCTTCCACACAGAGAAGCCACACACAGACACAGTGTTGAGACTGGCGCAGCTGTTTGAAGAGCGCGCTCCGGCAGGCTAACAGAGACAGACGAACAGGGTGGTGGGGAGGCCGTGGGTCCGGCCGGCAGCTCGCCGCCGCCTGCGCTGGACACGCGCTGCTAACCTCGAGGCTTACCAATGGTAGCAGAGTGTTTGGGGCTGGAGGCAGACCCCTGCTGGTTAAAAGGGTGGTGCAAGTTCCCAGCTGCAGAGAGAGCAGAGCCAACAAACTGATGGACGACCACTTGAGAGACAGAGAGCGTGTGTCGCGTAAGCATTTGTGTCAGTAAAGAGACAGAGAGGGACAGCGGTAGAGACAGCAGAGAGAGGAGAAATGGACAGGAAGGAGAAAACAGCATTCCCGCCAGGAATTATATTTCTGTCTGTTTCAATTGTTTTAAGGTTGGAATTTTGCACCAAACTTAATTCAACTGCTAAGTTAGCAAAATATACCTACAAAATTACTTAGGAGCTTAGTTTAGCTTCTAACAGAAGGTTTGACAATTATCTCATCAGTATTTTCTGCAGAACAATCCAAATCGTGGAGAGAATGAAAGAAAATCAGAGGAAGAAAATGAAAAGCAAAGGGAGAATATTGGTTAATTCATTAATTTTCTCAGCAACTTTGAGCTTTCTCTTTCCTCCACTCTATTCAATTCTATAAGTTGTGCATTTTTCTCAACATTTTATTAATCGTCACAGAAAATGACAGAGTCAAAATGTGAATAAGATAGGATTTTCATGGTTATAGTTCAAATAATATGTCGATTTCTTCTGTAAGAAATGTGTAGCTCAGAAATGTATACAGTTCTTTGCAAAGTTCTTGTAATTGCAAATATTGTACAATAGTAAAATACAAAGATAATTAAAAACCATTTGTAGCTAAAAATATTTCAGTAACTCCCTTATCTGTGTCATTTTGGATGAAAAGCTAATTTATCCATTTCCTTTTCTGTAAAATTGCGGCGTCTGACAGCATCTCAGTCCCAGCAAAATGTTTTCCACCTCAAGTGCGAATTGTGTTACTGCTACTGAGTTTGAAGTGAGATTTGAAAACCAGGAGAACAGCAGTGATAATTACCCTCCCTATCACTCGGGACACAGTGAGCAAGCCGGATCCAAAGGCTCGTGTAACCTGAATGTGACAATGTCACTTTATGTTTTCACCTCCACAAACATGCGAATGCGTTGGCTTCGACTCGAGCCGCTCTGTCACTTACTGCGGTTGTCTTTCAACTGCAGGACGGGGGTGTACAGGCTTTTAGATGTGCGGCCGTCGGATGTGGTGGCGGTCAGCACAGCGGCGTTGTTCCTGTCTCCCTGCTGCACGGGGCTCGATTGGTGACGCAAAATGTCCACCAAGGATCTGACTCAGTGCAGGAAAGATGAGTGGATCGGTGTAGAAAAAGGTGAAAAGATGCCATCATTCAAAAAATACATTTTTATCTTTAATGTCTTGTTTTAAAAAAAAAATTGATGATGTTAAGCACATAAAGTATCACTTGAAACTATTAAATTGTGGGAGTAAAAGTGTCAGTTCTCTTTCACTTTGTACATTAACATTAAAATTAAGTCAAAAGTTCAGATATCAAACATAAACTTGAATAATAATTAAACTCTATATGTAAGGAGCAGCATGCCTGTCTGGAGATGCTGATGAAGGAGCACAAAATTATCTAAACCTTAAAGACCCCCAAGTGGATATTTGATGGTGAGACTAAGAGAGCAGTAACACATGACCCAGTCCCAGAAAACTGAATGAAAACTATAAGAACATTAAGAGGAAACCCCCCGACTGCTGGAGGTCAGCAGCTTGATAAACAGAGTGCATTTTTTGTCCATAGCAATTTATAGCCATTTCTTCCTCACTGTTAACTTTCCTTTAGGGCAGACTTTAATTAAATGAAACGCGATAATAGTAAACAACAATTCCCTGATCCATCGCCTCAGTAATTGCTACCACAAATCACCCAGCCTGTGTTAACTCTGGTGGGTGTCGAAGAGCAAAATGAGCCCAGAATGAGACTGAAATTCAAATCTCTTTTTTTAATTTGAAGAAAAAAAATAAAGGTTCAGTTTGGCAACTGTTTACTTTAAATTCTGTTACTGGAAAATAATGAATCACATTTTATTTCGGTCTCTATGAGACAGCTCTTTAGTTGGTCTCACCTGGGCATGTTGACATCTCTGTTGCGGGGTCGACGCGCCACCTTGCTGAAGGCGACCCTGACGCCCACAGCCACCACCAGCGTGAAGGATATCACCCCTCCGATCACGTAACCCGTACTGGAGAAAAAAACCAACATAAAGTCATGCAGAAAGGTACAGAGACACAGGCAGAAAAAGAGAAAATTGTATGAGTTCTAGTATTCTGCTCTTAGTGGCTTGAACAAAGCAGTTCCACCCAGAAAAGGTTCAGTTAAAGTATTTCAGTAAGTTTGAACCTCTGCATTCAGAAACAATAAGGGCTGACAGATCAAAGTACTGAATTCAACTTGATATTTGGATTGCCATAGTTTGCTTTCACATTGCAGTAGCAATCCAATCTGTTCCACTTCCCGACGTTGTACTAAAATTTTGATCCATATCCGATTATAATATCACAATCAGACCAGATGTGGCTCTGACTGTGCATCCAAAGCAGATCTTTCATGTTCTTGTGACAAATCTGTCGTTTCTCATTGCTGAACAACTTTAAAACCAGTCCATAAACAGTTCTATATCCATTATTACTCCCATAAAGAATGTGCTGTTGGGTGACGTCAATGATTTTCTGCACTTGAAGGTCGCTTTAGGTTAGGAAATGGTTCACCCTTAAGTTTCATTGTGGTTGTTTTGGTTGTATGTAGGACCATGCAAAAAAAATAATGGGAAAAAACAAACAAAAATATGAATTTCAGCAAAAATATCAAAATTGAGCATCATGCTGTGCTCACTCTTTGGGACTCAAATTATTTACTTTTTCACCTATTACAAAAACTGTGCAATGAAAGTTGAAATCATAATGTGAAATTATATTTATATTTGGTTTTCAAAAAGGCTGAAGTAATCTTTCATATTACCAAAACTTAATCTGAAAGATTGATAGGTGATCTTTAGATTTCTGAAGGTCTTGTTGTGACAAAAGTACAAAGAAATTAGAGGTGGTTTTAAAAAAAATGTGTACATTGATTTAACTAATTATTTACATGCATCATGGGATTTTTTTTCAACTCCAACCCTGACCTGCTGCTCTGCTGCTGCAGCGTCTCGAAGTCGGGATCGGGCTTGTTGGCGGCAGGCACGCTGACGGGGGCCTGAGGGTCAGCCCACACAGGGGAAATGTAGTTTTTGCAGGAATCCTGGTCCAGTCGGCTCCTCCGGTGCTCGCAGCAGAACCGGTATTGGCAGGTACCACAGCAGTAGCGATACGTGCCCTTGGAGCAGTTGAACGTGTTGTCAAAGTGCCCCATGACGTCATAGTAACCCCTGGGGAGCAAAGCATAAAACGGAAATCTGAACTTTTGTAATGAGTGTGTTTCATCACAGAGGAAGGCATTTCACTAAGTCTAGAAATCTGGAGTGTATTAAAAAATAAAAAGCAACACTAGAACAAAAGGCAAGATAGGAAATAACAGAAGTCATGAATAACAAATCAATACAGATGAAAAGTTGAAAGCTTATGTATGTTTTGGATCTTGTCTGATATTTTCCTGCTCGTTCTGCTTCTGGCTGCCTGGATGCGGTCGCAGTGTGCGGCTCGCCAACAGACAACTGATTTAGAGCTGATTATCTGTTGCGTAGCAACAGCAAGACGCCTCTCAGTGCAGAACATGAGCTTTGGTGGGATCAAGATGAGAGCTGCAGGAGAATCATGATGTTCTTTGCTTTTATGGCATTCAGTAAGAAGAACACATTAAACGAGCCGGTGGAAGCTGCAGTCGCTCAAACAGCAGCCTCACTTCTGCAAATGGCAATATAAAATAATCCTTTTTCTTGAACTTAACCTAAAGTAACAAATGCACTTTTCAGATTTTAATTTTCTTGCTCCTGTCAATTTCTCTCATTTTTATTTTATTTTCCCTTTTTGACCTTGTTAAACAGGGATGAGCTCAGATTTGGCTGACAACATGAACACATCCATCAGGTGAAATTTCATGCAAACAGCTCAGTTTTTTGTCTCTTGTCTGTTTCTAACATGCTTTTAGTCTCTCCGGCTGTATTTTCATTCATGTGTAACTTTTTATGAAATCTGGAGATTAAGACATTTAGCACTAAATGTATGTTACAGTCGACCATGTATTCACAGATGAATCTAGGGTACCGAGGTACTTCCAGGTTATTTTTAATAAAACATAGTTTAATAGACAGCTTAAATCTTAAAGTCATCTTAAAAATATACCAGGCAAAGTCCCACAGTGACCAGAGCTTAGTTTGACTTTGTGGAGTATTAAGGAACTGCTCCACCCACACCTGTGCACTGTTTGCCAGATGGCTAAACAATTTCTAAACAATTTTTTTATGCTTACAAAAAAAAAAATGTTTGAATGTATTTCCAGTTGAGAAAAACGTTTGTCACGTAGATTCCCATCCGCTTTATTAAAGTGACACTGCGATTTCATTTTAACTGTTACCAAGTAACAAGAGGCATGTATTTAAAGCAGCGGACTGAATTTAGGGCTAATTGGAAACTACTGCTAAATTCAGCAAGAATTTATTCTACAATTCTGCTCAATTCTGTGTCAGAATTGAACTAATTAGAATCAAATGTGATATTAACATAATAGTAAACTAATATTATTTTAATAGAAGTAGGGATTATAGTTTATTTTCCGTAAGAAAACAATTTATTATACAACCTTTTTTGATACCAATTGACTTTTCAGTTAAAGGAATACCAGCTTCAAATTGTGGAACTATTATCCTGTAGTTATTTTACTACTTTTGTAGTGCTTTTTCTTTTCTTTTAGATTTGCTTGGCAGGAAACTAAACTTTTTATTATCTTTTGGATTTAGGTTTCATAAGTAAAATTTGACTTTAACAAAAAGAACTGCATCACATAACTTTCATACCTGCAAACTTCTCCATTATCCACCAGTGGCGGGGCCACCTGGGCCCCACTGAGCGGAGGCTTCAGTGGGTTTTCCGTGGCGTTCCGTGGAAACATCCTCTGTGGGAGGGGCTTCGGGGGGAGCTCAGCCATCGCCGCTGGATCATCATCGTCCTTCATCTCAGCCTCTTTCGGTGGCACTTTGGATCCACCACGGGGGTTTGACTTGTAGCCGGTCAGGAGGAACAAGGTGCTGCCTGTTTTTCCAGCAGAGGTGCCACTGCTGCTGCCAAGCGTCCTGGCGTCGCCGTTGGCATCTCGGCGCTCCACGGTAATGGTCAGGGAGGAAACAGGCAGGCAGGAGAAAAGCAACAGAATGACAAAAAGGGAAAGCATCCTCTTCGAAAGCGTGGACTTCATTGTTCTGGGGTAAAGTTCTTCAGTCGTGATTTAGAAAAGAAAATCAGCTGTCAGAGTTCAACTCCAAGATGGCGTCTGGCTGAAATATAAAAACCTTTGTGATGAAAATGTTTGAACTTCAGTTTTTAGTTCAGATGCAGTTCAGCAGCTGTTTTATGAATGTGTTTGGCATTTCACTCGTTCGTCTGAATGTAAACATTTCTCTGGATAGAAATTCCTCCCAAAAGCAGCTTGTGTAAACATTGAGGTTTTCAGAGATTTTAGGCCCTGTACAAACTGCCTATATAACAGTTTAATAAACCAGCCAACTTTAACTTCACTATATGACTGTGTTGAATGGCACTGGGTTCTGAATAATTAGTATCGGTCTGTCAGCTGACAGAGTGGCATTTTTTCCCCCTTGGCCAAAACTCAAAACTTTTCAAAATGGCAGTATTTACACATTTACTGTAAACAAAAGAGCAGAGTTTGAGGAAAACTTTAAACTCTTAACAAAACGACCAATGGGAACGCTCGGTTTGGCACGTGACAAATTGCAATGGAAACGGTGGATTGTAAACATTTAGTGCTGTATGTAAACTTCAGATCGCTCGAACTGATGTTGGATCTATTCTTTCGGGAGTTTGGCACTTCTACTGTCCGTTGTAAATAAAAAAATAATAATAATAATTTGACATGGAAAGAAAATAATTTTCTTCCAGGCTATGTGTCTGTAAACAACAGTGATGGCAGCTTCAAAGTTCTCAGCTTTGTTTGAAAAGCTGAAAGAAAATCAGTTTGAATTTGGCACAAGTTTCTTCAGTTTGTACATCTTTTACAGGACACTATCAATTTCCATAATTAGCTCTATTAAGTAACTTAGATGGATCAGTAAAGGTCTGTATGCTTAGGAGTTTGGTCTAACGACTGGGATTTAAAAACTGTGAGCTATGATGTTGTTGAATGAATTTACTGCAGATGAACAGCATTGAGCAGCATCAGGACTTTCAAGAAATTAAGTTTTTTCCAGCAGCTACTGGAAGGAAACGGTCAGTCCATTAAACTGGAATGTCAATGGAAGCTGGTGAGAACTTAAAACTGAAGACTTTTCTTTAAAAAAAAAAAAAAAGAAGCCGCAGATTTATGTGCGTTGGATTCCCTTGCTCGAGTGTCTCTGCTCTGAGTTTAGCTTGGCCCAACAGAAGAGAACAAAGGAGGGCTTGGGCCCGGTTCTAGCAGGGCAGCGAGGTTCTGCCCACAGAACAGACATGAAACTTTCTGGATTCATCCGTCAACACAGAGGAAACTGGGACGCAGACGGGGAACTCGGCGTGGTCGCTGTGGCTGCCACGATTTAATGCCGCGGACGATCCGATTGAAACAATTCTCGAAAAAGCAGTTGCAAAAACTACAAACTTACAGGATCCTCTTTCCTCCAAACATCAGAATTTGGGTGTTTTTCATGAGCTGTTGCCTCATGGATTCCCTGAATGTGTGCGTGCACCAATATGACGAAGATCACTTTGTTAGAAAACAAAAATCTAAAATACTGTGAGAAGCTTTGCAAATGTAAAAGTTCATTTGTATGGCTGGTGTTCGGTATGGCTTCACGTTATGATCCTTTTGTTCCTTCTTATAAAATTATTTTTCCTTCACGTACAAACATGAGTACAGTGAAAGGTTTTAAATTGCATGCTTTTTCAGGAACAAAAAGAGGAATGCTGAAGAGTTCAGTGGGACTTGATAAAGGGGGATTTCACGTCAGTAATCAAGCTCAACATATGGAAGAAACGAGACGACAATGACTGAGAAGCCTTTCTAATGTAAGCGACTGGAAGAAGGAGATAGGCAAAGTGTCAACAGTGTTTCACAGCGCAGACTGAGAGGACAGTATGCGTCTAAGCCTTTGAGATAGCAGCGGCGGTGATGATGGCGGGCTTGGATTTATCTGGTCAAACGTGGCTTGTGTTACCCGTCAGTCAAAACGGCGCTCCGATTTAAAATAAAACCTTCAGACTCCGTCAGAGAATTATCACTCCTCACCACATGCTTCCTCTGTCACTCTGCAAACTTTTTATAAAGCACTTTGAACCAATAATGCACTGATTATGGTCTTGGCAGGAAAATCACGCAGTTTTCACATTAAGAGCAGCAAACACTGAAAGATTAAGTAGTCAGGAGTAAATAAGTTGTTAATATGATGGTGGACTTAAAGGTTCACGTTGGCAAATAAATCAGTTTCTGAGGCGAAATACTGTATGATTATGTAGAAAATGCAGTTTCATGAAATATTATTTTTTTGCTTTTTTTGACACAGTCAGTTTGGCATCTGCTTTTGGTCTCGTTGGAAAAGAAAAAGAAGGTAAAGAAAAAGCTCTGAATCCTGCATCCTGGCCATGAAAAAAGGGGCAGAAATAGAAAAAAATAAAGTGAAATGTATAACAGGAGTTTGAAAGTTAAGAGGAGGGGAGCTGGGAAAATTCCCCCACTTGATAATGAGATGTTCCCGATCTGGTCGTTCACTCTGGTTTGATCACAGGTTCCACAGCTTTCACACTGCAAGACAAGAAAACATGCATCAGATTAGGAGGGGAACACTTAAAAATCTACATTTGTATATTTTGTCTGTAATAACTTGTGGAGAAATATGAAAAATAGGTCATTATCCATCGGTGATAAATATTCACAATATTCGCAAACATTTCCTTTATACATCAAGTTTTAATGACATCCCCAAATTCAGCAGAGAAGTCTGAACATTTTTCACATAATTTCTATGCTTTTTGTTGGACTGCATAAACTAAATTACTGTCAGAATAAATACATGTGGAATATATTTAGCCACTGATTAACAATGAAATATTTACAAATAACAATGACAGTTGAGTTGACTCAAAGTACGGTAACAGTAAGGTCAGTCAGTCTTTTTTCATTTAATGGTCATTTTCAGTTCCGGCTTATTTTTTTCATTCCTAAAAAATAAAAACTAAAAAGACATTTCATCTGTCAAATAAATGTCCTAACACGTAAAAGAAGTTGATTTTAAGCAGCTACAATACAGAGAAAGCTCTATTGTGTCGCAGGGTCCATGAATCAACACTAAAAGATGAAGATTCAAACACAGGGAAATGTTTGATTTTTCAAAAACAAAAAGGGGAAGCATTTTCAAGGCTTTTCTATTTATAAATTGTCAAACATGAATTAAATAAGTTACTCTACCATCATCACAGATTCGTAACAGACTAAGGGATGGACTTACATAAATTTCCCATTATAATTACATATTTTTCTGCTGAAAGTCAGATTCAAAGATGGATTGTTGGCTTTGCTCATCATCTCCACATATATGCTCCTGTCTAAACAGTCAGCTCTGCTTCTGCTTGTATTTCCACACTGTGACTTATCACCTCCGTCAAACCCATTTTATCAAAAGCACCAATCAGAACTTGTCTTTTCTAAATTTAGCAAATTATTTAAACCGGTTTAACAGAATACACTCATATAATATTGTCAGCATCGGGCTGCAAACATGGCAGTCCACCTTTAAAGAGTGATATGATGATACCACTACAACGCTATGATGGTATCATCAGATGTATAATTCAAGTGCGTGCTTCATACAAAATGCAGCCTGCTTTTCAGAATGTAGCATACCATCACACATAAAACAGGAGCTGACAGCAGAGATGTGACTTTGATAGAGGTAGCAGGGGACATGAGAGATGCCATATGGACCCATCTGACAGAGGGACAGAGGAAGAAATGGATCACAGATGTGTGAATGTGTTCTGTTTACAGAATGAGGCCTTAGTGGCTGGGAGTGGTCCAGCATCACACCGCTCTAAAGATCTCATTATTTTATAATACTATTGATGTGACTACAAAATGTTTGAAATGAGTCAGAATATTACATTCATCAAGTGTGACACTGACTAAAATTAGTCTGTTTATGAAAGAAAAGAATCTCTTTCTGCAAAGTAGGGATGCAGAATATCGGAATAGCATGTGAGATGGGAAAACATAGTTAAATGTATCTACGGTAACATAATTAAACAGATAAGTGCACTGTTTATGCCTTGGATTTAAATTAATATTCCATAAACAACTCTCTTGAAAAACTTGCATCTGGCCACAGCTGCTGGATTAGAAAAGAAACTCTAGTTTCATTGCAACATACTTATTAAGAAAAACATTTTTATGCCCCTGCTAAATATTCTGCTGCTTTATAGATATACTTTGAAAGTAATACTGCAAATAAATTTGTAGATTTGGTGTTCCTGTATAGTCTACAGCAGCTTAGAATTGTATATTTTCAGAATCTGGATAATTTGGAAAAAGTACTTGAATTTAGAGTTTTTGTTCCTTACTTCATCCATCCATCCATCCATTCATTCATTCATTCTTCCATCCATTTTGTTCTGCCAAAGAACTGTGGGGTGTTTTAGTGAAAGAGTGAAGCAATGTCATCGTTGTCATTTTTTCACTATTTTGAAAGTGTGAAAAAATAGATATAATGTATATCTCTAAATATCTGTTCTTGATCATGACTGTATTAATATTTACATTTGTCTAAAGGTTTGTACTGGTGCATCGCTAATAAATATCAAGCATATTTTTTGTGTCAGGTTCTGCTAATGATTGAGCGTAACTGCAGAGACATTTCTCATTAACGCCACTCTTATGTCTGTCATTGAGCTGGATTTTTGCCTCTGAACAAAAGTGACACTTTGTAAAGCTTAATGAACTCAGATAGAGCCAATACAGAATTCAGAGCCCATATACTTGGATCCAGAGTCAGAATAATACGCCGCCTCAAACACATGCCTCAAAATGAAAACATACCCGAGCAGTGAGTGCTGTTAATTTTAACTCACTTATGATTCATTTTCAGGTTACACTGACAAAAAAGCAGCTTTAATTTATGGTATCAGTCATTTGCTAATTGCAGATACAATTTACAGTATTTTTTTTCTTCACTTTCGCCCAAGACTCTTGGATCCTTCTGTTACATTTCAGAGCAAACAAAAATGAGATCACCATCAGGACGAGACTCATCTCCTGGAGCAACAACAATACCTCCAGCTGATACTGTAGCAGTCAGAGCGGCAGCTCCAAAAAAAGAAAAACCTCAACATGACAGCAGAGAAGGACAGCTTAGACAATAAATGATCAGTTGTAAAATATAAATGAAGGGGGAAGAGAAAAGAACAGCATGTTCTGGGGTTACGGTTGGAGATGAACTATATCCTGAATCACAATAACCTAAATAGGCCGATCTTCCTCTCTGCTGGAAAGTTCTGGGCGCTCTGCTGCCCTGACAGCTTGGCTTCACATCAGTGTGTCTCGACCCTCCAGGGGCTTTTCCGACCCGCTTCCTCAGATGTCGTAATTAAGAAGCCCCCGCTGACAAATAGCCGAACTTCCACTGGCTTTCTAGGCGGCAAGTGAAATGATTCAATAAAAACTGGAAATATGTGAGCGCATGTATAAAAGTGTGGATTTAACACATCGAAGTTAACACTTTTATGCTCTGCATGGAGCTGAAGTACCTTTTCTTTCTGTTCATTATGACTGTTGAATCTGTACATGATGATCATGTACAGATTGATCATCATCTGTATGGTATTAAGATACAATTAACACAGAAAGAGCACTGAAAAGAAAAATCAAGCACCACATTCATGTCACGGATGAATTTATACCCTGTTTTCTGTCCGCCAGCTGATCTGGCAGTCTGTCTGTCCAACACGCTGTCTCCCTCCACTATTTTCTGGTGAACATGCCCGTGTGGCTGCATGTAAATCCGTGCTGTTATCCCTCTGTCTTCCTGCTTCTCCTGTCTCCCTGCTGATCTCGGTCATTCGCCTTGCTGTGTTTGTGACACACATGCATGAATTTGTCCTGCTGACTCCCTCCTAGCTGTGTGTACTAGAAATCACTGAACAGAATGAACACCTTGACATCATAAAGCATTTTACAGATGCTTTTGTTACACTACTTTGAACAGTAATAACTTTGTTCAGATAAATTAATTCCTCTTTTGTGGCCAAAGCTGCAAATCTATTTGCCTTATTTAAGAGAATAAATCTCTGAAAAACACAATGTCTTGGTATTTTTCTTAATTTGTTCATTGTATGATTTGCCAGTAATGCATCAGCAAACAAAATGTCAATATCGTTCTATTCATTTATCTAAACTGCAGTCATTGTTTAGCTGAAAATGCAGTTATTTTAAGCGCTGAGTGTTATAAAACCTAAATGTATGAGTAATCCGTCCCTGAGCGATGCAAGCTTTTAGAGATTGATGACTCTGTAATGTTGTGCCTCATTTACAGGGACGACAACTTGTAGATCGCGAAGCATATGGACATGGCTACTGTCAGTGACTTACTTTTATTTTAAGGCTTTTGTTGCTAAAGTAAAACAGGCCATTTTTGTAAATCAGGACCTTGTTCCTTTTTTTACATAAAGCCACAAAATGTGAGGCATTTTATTTATTATTAATTTAAGTGATAGACCAACAGAAGGTAGTAGACAACTATGAAGCTAAAAGAAAATCATATCCCTACAAACACAAACACTGTTCTTGACAAGCACATGAAACAACCACATATAGAAGTGTGTTTTTTATCATTAAACTGCATGTAGTAACTGCATTATTTACTGAAAAGTATTACTCATGGAACAAATGAGAAAAAATTGTATAATTACATTTCAAACACTGTTAATTGGAATTCAGTGCTGAGAGATTTAATCAAAAGTCTTATGATGACATTTTTAAGATAATGACGGTGCAATAAACGCCCCAGTTCTGCAGCCTCTCAAGTTTTTTTTCCAGGATTCTTTGTATTTAGCTCCATTCATCCTCCAAACACCATTCAGAGAAAAACAATCCCACACTATAATGCTGCCACCACCAGGTGTCACCATACTAATAGTGTGTTTTGTCACATTATAAGTGCCAAAAAAGTTCAACAAATATCAACAATTTTGCAATGCATTGTAACAATTACTGTACAAATCAGTTTTACGGCTCTGATTATTTTTTTAAACAAAAATGCAGACCCAAAATTTACCCAATCAATGATGAGTTAATTAATTCACCAGAATAGAAAACAGTGTGTGCATTAGGGGACAGTTTAAGCACTAAAGCATAGATGTTGTTCATCTGTGTCATGTTTACAGTACACTGTAGGTCTCTCTCCATATTGTATGCATGACTGACTTTCACTGGCAACTGCACATGAGTTTTAAAGACACAAAAGCTCCCTGACAGGCGGTGACCCCCTCCATCATGGCACAAACACTATCTTTCCTCACTCCATCCATCCATTCACTCCTTCCCTCCCTCCCTGCCTGTGCGGGGGTTGGAGTGTTTCACTAGGAATAGCTTAGCACCACTGAAAAGAGATCATGTAAAACAACAACAGAGGACAAAAAATGTAACGTTGAAAGAATTTACTCATTTTATGTTTATGTTTAATTTGTAAATGTGCCATAAATTTGAAGAAAAAACAACAACGTGGTTGTGCTGTCTAACATCCATATCAACACTGT